TTCTGGGTACTGGTCTGGCTATGTCAATCTGTTTTTTCACTTCAGCAGGTGGGTATTGTAGTTTTAAGAATGCTTGATAGAGCTCTTGTAGGTGCTTGTCTCTTTCTGAGGGATTGGAGCAAATGCGGTTATATCTTAGAGCTTGGCTATAGACAATGGATCGTGTGGTGTGTCCTGGATGGAAGCTGGAGGCATGTAGGTAAGTGTAGCGGTCAGTAGGTTTCCGGTATAGGGTCGTATTTATGTGACCATTGCTTATTAGCACAGTAGTGTCCAGGAAATGGACCGCTTGTGTGGATTGATCTAGGCTGAGGTTGATGGTGGGATGGAAATTATTGAAATCATGGTGGAATTCCTCAAGGGCTTCTTTTCCATGGGTCCAGATGATGAAGATGTCATCAATGTAGCGCAAGTAGAGTAGGGGCGTTAGGGGACGAGTGCTAAGGAAGCATTGTTCTAAGTCAGCCATAAAAATGTTGGCATACTGTGGGGCCATGCGGGTACCCATAGCAGTGCCACTGACTTGAAGGTATATATTGTCCCCAAATGTGTAATAGTTGTGGGTGAGGACAAAGTCACAAAATTCAGCCACCAGGTTAGCTGTGACATTATCGGGGATACTGTTCCTGATAGCTTGTAGTCCATCTTTGTGTGGAATATTGGTGTAGAGGGCTTCTACGTCCATAGTGGCCAGGATGGTGTTTTCTGGAAGATCACTGATGGATTGTAGTTTCCTCAGGAAGTCAGTGGTGTCTCAAAGATAGCTGGGAGTGCTGGTAGCGTAGGGTCTGAGGAGAGAGTCCACATAACCAGACAAGCCTGATGTTAGGGTGCCAATGCCTGAGATGATGGGGCGTCCAGGATTTCCAGGTTTATGGATCTTGGGTAGCAAATAGAATACCCCTGGTCGGGTAAGCTGTGCTCTAACTTCATTATTGCAAAGCAAAGGAATAGGGCTGGCATTGCGTTCTTGAAGGTAGCTAGATAAAGATGAGCCTGAAGCTGTGACTGAATATGATAGCCCACTGAAAATGCTTTCAATTCCTATGAGCTTGAACCTGGGGAAATCCAGCGTCAGTGCGTTCCTTATGATCAGAGCTGCTGTGGTAGAGTACAGAAGAGAGCAAGTCTTTGAGATAGATATGCCCTTGTCTACTATGATGGTGGGCAGGCAATTGCTCATCCTTGTCCTTGCTGCTGTTGTGCAGCAAACGGTCTCCCTTCCATGCCTTCCTGGCAGCACAGACGCAACTGTAAGAGATTTGCTAAAGCACTCATTGTAGGGGTGGCACTGAGCAAAGTAGTGGATTGAGAAGAGTCAGAAAAGCAAAACGGAGAGAAGATCAAGAACTGAGGGCAGTAATATTTTGTTGAGAAGTATAGCACCATCACTAAGATAAGCTTTGGAAAAAGAAAAATTGCTAGGGGATTGCACATTTTATAGCTTGTATAGGCAGATCTTATTGCACACACGAAGGGCTCCCTGCATTCCTCCAATCTTCCTATAAGCCTCCTGTGTGCCACTGTCTCATCCCTCATATCCAGGGACTCCCTGCAGTTCCCTCAATCTGCCCCAGACAGGTGTTCTGTGTGCCCTGCATTCCTCTTTCTCTCATACCAGACTTCTCCTTTCTCCTCCCTACCAGCTGCTCTATGTGCATGCCCATTCTCACTTCCCCTATGCCTCCCATTTCCTATGATAGAAGATCTGTGTTCATCACCACCCGTATCCGGATCCCCCAGCCTCCCACCTGTCAGGAGTTTTGTGTGCCAAATACTGTCCTTCTCTCCCATTCCAGGGTCTCCCTTTCTTACCCTCCCCCATGGCATGGGCTCTGTATGCGCCCCTATGCCCTCTTTTCCCCTCCCACCATACCAGGGTCCCCAAACTTTCTCCCACTAAGAGTTCTGTGTGCCCCCTATTACAGCTTTCCCAGTTTCCCCCCACACCATTTCCATCATGGCAGGATCTGTGTGTATGCCCCTACTTCACCACCTTTATTTTTTTTCCTGACTGGAAGATCCGTCATTTAGTGTGTCAACATGTTAAACTGAACTGAGAGGATAGACAGAGATGAGATAGGAGTATTATTGTGCTGGAAGGCATAAATGGGTGGTGTCAACTAGTTTGATCTTCAGACAACTGCGGAGGTGTTCAGGGTCTCTGGTTTGTGCTAAAGCGTTGGCAGTGGCTTCATGTATCCACAGTTTTCACCCGTTGAGTTTTTCAGTTCTATCCAAAATCAAGAGGGTGGCCATTGATGCCGAGAACATTCCCTGGAATTGATTGGATTCAGAGTTTAAAAGTTACTGCATTGCATGCATGCATGCAGAAATGCCATCAAGTTAAGTGTAAGGCTTTCACAAGCTTGCCAAATGAGACATTTTCATAATTGCATAATTACCTAACGCCTGTCTCTTTTCATAGGTTTCAATAAATTTAGGGGAAATTATCTCATGTTAACGAACCTGGGTACTTAGCAGCACAATATTACTTTCTGGCCTTTTTGGCAAGACTTGGCTCTAACATAAATCGATCCTGGTTAAGATTCTCTTGCAGTAGTAAAAGTCTGACAGATTTCAAGTAAACCGTAAATATCATGGGATCTTCCAATATTCATCTGAAAAGGATATGACCTTTAATCGAGTGGGAGTGAACCAAAGCTTAAAGGATGGGCTGTTTTAAAAAAAATAGAGTAAAAAATATTTAGATTGCTCGAAGGCCCAGACTACTGTTCAACCTTAAATTCTGTAAAATAAATTTCCCATTACTGAGTGACACATTTATTTTGGAAATAACTTATCTTTGTTTTAAGTAGCTTAAACTAAGTTGCATATGTACAATTAATAGGATTTTCACTCATAGAATTGAAAAAAAATTCCAAGTTGGTCAAAGGAAGCATTATCTAATGGTTAAAGCTCAGGTCAGTCATCAGAAGATTTAGGTTTGGTTCTTAGCTCTCACTGATTCCCTGTATAACCTTAGACAAGTCACTTAATTCGTCTGCATCTATTTCCCTGTCTTTAAAATAGAGATATTTTATTTAAAGTGAGAGTGTACTTTTTCATTAATACTGAAGAACTTTGGGCTGAAGGTTCTACATAAGTGCAAACTAGGTTTACTCTTGAGTAATCTCAATTACTCAGTCTCAATATTTAAATACAAACCAATAGATTACATCGGGGTTGTACTAGGACTAGTATTGTACTGTAACGAGTTTGCCTTCAGATAATTGTATACTTTTCTGCTGTCTAACAGGCTTTCACTACATCCTTAATACCAAGAGTTGTTTTTTGTAGGTTTAGGAATGTATGAAACACCACTCTTCCTTGCCCATGAAGAAGAATCTGGTGGCCGCAGTGTCCCAACAACTCCGCTGCAAGTTGCAGCACCAGGTGAGAATCAGTATTGCGAAGTGTAATGATAATATTAGATGCTTTGACTTCCTAACAAAATGCATAATATTACTGTTATGTTGTTTATTGCTGTGATGAAAATATTACTGCAGATGGAGTTCTTGTAGTACCCAATATTTTAATAAATTGGGTATGTATAAGTACAAAACAACCTTCTTTCTTAACTGCTTTTCCTGATTTTGTTTTTTAAAGTGTCTGTTTTTACTGAAAGTACCTCAGCTGATCCTTCAGAGCATGCTTCTCAGTCTGTTCCAATGGTGACAACATCCACTGGCAGTTTATCCACTACTACTGAATCTGGAGTGGGTGATGATGGGGATGAGGTTTTTGTGGAGGCAGAATCTGAAGGGTAAGATACACTACTCAGTGGATAAAGATTTAATTTTGTATTTGAGATTTAGTTTTACATGCTTTCATTGCATTTCATTGTTTGAGTGTGTCTGTTGTCTGTTAAATCTTAGCTCTATTTGGTCCATCGCTGGGAAGCACTGCGTGGTTTCCTAAATTAGTTGTAAAATGAATCTGGTGACCTTTTGCCTCCTTCAATACCAACTTCTTCTTTTGGTCTCCCTGTATTGAACTATATTCATCTTCAAAACAGGATTAGCGTGGCTTCCACTTTATGGTGGAAGATGTTCACAAGCTAATCCGCTTGCAGTGGAAAACAAGAATTAAACTCTGAATCAGAGGCTTATTCAACCTCTGGCGCTGGTAGTGGGATCTAGAATTTCTAGACATCTCAAAATGGTCACAGATCAGTGTCCGATTTCCTTTTTTCCGAACAACTTAATTTACTACTTTGCAGAAATAACAGAAACAAAATGTAAATCTTTTAAAAGAATATAAACCCTTTCTGGACACCCAGATCATGAGTGAGTTGAGCATGCATTTCCTTGATAAATGGATTGATGCAATGGCTCTCAAAACTGGTCTGCTGAGCACTTCAATTAACTTGTGGATCTGTTACTATAACAGTAGTGAAGTATTCGTCAGGCTTTATTCAGTGATAGTTGGAGTCCACTCTGGGACTGTCAGGCTTTCCAGAAGCCTGTCTAATTTTTTTTTTTTAAAAGCATCTCTCTGCTCAACTGCTAAATGCTTTTTTCTTTTGTGTGTGTTGTTTGAAGTTCAAGTGTCAGCAAAATTTGGAACACCACCAGAAGTAGACACATATGGGACAAAAACAAACTAAGAGTGACCTGGAGAGCTGTGGGGCTTTTGGCAGAGGGTAGAATTTGATATTAACAAATGTAAAGTCCTGCACCCGGGCAGGGGAAATAAAACAGCACAAATGGGGAGTTAAGAGGAGAAAATACAACCAAACAGCCCCATAGATTGTTTAAAATTATTTTATTTTTATTTTGTTAATTCTGCCCTCAGATTTCCATGTAATCAACTGATCTAGTTGTCCTTCCATTGGACTCTGTAGAGTGCTCTTTAAGATAGCTTTGTTATTGTCTTTCACTGTCTTGGCACTGGCTTTTTGAAAAATCATTCATCCAAGCCTTTTAGATATTGCATTGAAAAGGACATTTTGGGCAAAACCCTAGGAACCATCTCTTTTTCCCAGCCTTTACATTTCATATACTGGATCATACTGCATAGTCTTAATGGGTTCCATTTAAATTAAATATTTACTTCCCCCTTACCCACTGACCTCTGTAATATGGGGAGCAGATTGGTGTATAAATTCTTCCATGCCACATGGTTTTTACTCAAGTGCACCCAAATAAACATTTTTTTCTTCCTCATTTTTCTGATCAGGCAGTCACCCTGGTGGTATGCAGTGGATGGGTAGATGAGTGCCAAAGAGGATTTGTCTGCCTTTATTTTTAAAATACTAATATCTCTAATTTCTGGTAACAAGGTAGAAAAAAAGTGAAGTGTATGTATGAAAATACCCATGGTAAAACAAAAATCAGTTTCCTGTTAAATTACAGAATTATCTGTGCTCACAGGGGATTATTGATTTTTCTTGAGTTTTATCACCATTGTTCGACACCTGAATTTTTATGTTCCAGAATTACATCAGAAGCTGGTCTAGAAATTGATAGCCAGCAAGAAGAAGAATCTGTTCAAGCATCTGATGAGTCAGACCTCCCTTCCACCAGTCAGGATCCTCCTTCCAGCTCATCAGCAGGTATTGGCTCCCTTCCTAATACAGATTGCTTCATGCTCTTTTGTAGGATGCTTGTACCTCAAGCCTTTCCCCAGTGCAATACACATTGTTGGCAGTGGAGACCAAACTAAGACCAACTATTTTGAACATTTAATGTCCCTTCTGAAGCATCACTTTATTTATACTTATTGTTGTCTCCGTAATGGGTCAGAAGGAAACTTAGGTTAGTGGTGTGGCCATCATTGAGAATACACTCAACTTTCTCACCCAGTGTGTTGACAGATTGAATTATGAGTGAATTCTAATCATTATGGCAGCATTGTGTAAGATAGGGTGGCAATTTGTAAGCAAATGAGTGGCATATATCCTGAATCTGGAACTTCTTCCACCGTAAGTGCTTAAACTTGTATTGATTTTTGTTTTGTGTCAGTTGATAACATGGATAAACCTCTAAGACATCTGGGTTGCTTATAAATAATCACAGGTTTGCAGAACAGTGGTTCTCAACAAGGATACTCGTACCTCTGGGAGTACGCAGAGGTCTTCCAGTGGGTACATCAACTCATCTAGATATTTGCCTAATTTTACAACAGGCTACATAAAAAGCACTAGCCAGTGAAGTCAGTACAAACTAAAATTTCATACAATGACTAGTTTATACTCTTCTGTATACTATACACCAGGGGTGAAAGTAAAAATAGGGACTTAACGGTACGGGGCTGGGTTGAGGCTGGCTGTGGCCCCCGGAAGGGGCGGGGCCTCGGGCGGAAGGGGAAGGAATGGGGGGGGGTCAGAGCCAACCCCGGCCCACCCTGTACCAGTAAGTGCCCTGCCCCGCCAGGGTAGCAGCGGCAACCAGGGGCTTCGGCAGCAGTTTAAAGGGCCCAGAGCTTGGCCGTCGCTACTGCCCCGGGTCCTTTAAACCGCTGCCGGAGCCCCCAGTTGCCACTGCTATTTAAAGGGCCCAGGACTCCCCTGCTTCTACCACCCCAGCCCTTTAAATAGCCCCCGGAGCCCTGGGGTAGCGACAGGGCAGTAGAGGCAGCGGGAGCCCTAGCCGTTTAAATAACCCCCGGAGCCCCGCTGCTACTCCAGAGCTCCGGCAGCAGGGCTCTGGTGGCAATTTAAAGAGCCTGGGGCTCCAGCTGTTGCCCCAGGCCCTTTAAATTGCCACCTGGGGAAGCCGGGCCACCCCGGTACAGCACACCGGCTTACTTTCACCTTTGCTATACACTGAAATGTAAGTACAATATATTCCAATTATTTTATTTTATAATTATATGGTAAAAATAAAAAAGTGTCACTATTACTAAAAAATTCCTCACTTTCTCATGTTTTTCTCATTTTGTAAGCAAGTAGTGAAGTGAGGTGAAACTTGGGGATATGCATGACAAATCAGACTCCTGAAAGACGTACAGTAGTTTGGAAAGGTTGGGAGCCACTGTGTTAAAATATCCCTTTACTGAGTGACAAATTACAACTAACGTGATGGGCATATGAGTATTCACAGATGCAAAGCTTTGTTCTTTTGTTAATCCATTGGTCTACCAACCATTAGTCTGTCGCTCCATTTTGAAATAAAATGGACATGAGAATCTTTGGAGAGTTTGACATTTTTTCATCTATTTAATTTCCTTTTCCATTTGGTGAGGGCAACAGACTGTGAGTATCTGGACCATATTTTTGTCATCAGTAACTAATGGAAATAGAACTTTTTAAAATATCTTGAAGGATACTCACTTCAAAAGAAAATTTTAGGGTCAGATTGGGAATCCCTTCCTGGAGTTGTGATTATGTACTTCAGTGGGACTACTCTTGTGAGTATAGGATTCAAAATTTAGTCCCAGTGGAATTTTTTAAAGGGATGTGATGTAAGCAATGCAAAAGTAAAAAGGCAAGATTGTAATTAGATGCATTTGGTCTTAGCTGCAAGTAATTTAACCCAGCTAGTGAGTAAAAAAAAAAAAAAAAAAAATACAAAGGAAAACAAACATACTTGTTCAATCTGAGGCTTTATTATTATTTGAGAAGATGTTAATGAAATATGTTGCACCCTCAAGTTTTTAAAATATGAAAGACAAGTACAGCTGTATGTTAATTAAGCGATGGACTCACTAACAGTTACAAATTATACTGCAGTAACAATCTTATATATTCTTTCTGAAACTCTTCCTTCTCTACAGACACAAGCAGTAATCAGCCAAAGCCTTTCCGGCGTGTCAGACTTCAGCCACCAACATTAAGAACTGGTGTCCGTGGTCGTCAGTTTAACAGACAGAGGGGTAAGTGGCTGTCAATGTTATAATTACTGTGACTATGTCTGTACTCTTTCAAATTACCTCTTAATTTTCTTAACCCTTTTGAAACTGGATATCTATAATGCCACCAGAAGTATACATGATGAGACATTGAATAATGCAGGGTCCCTGCCCCACAGAGCTTTCAATATATATTATCCAAAGCATTTATTTGGCTGACAAGCAAAAAAAAATACAGAAAACTTCCTCCTTCTGTAGCTCCTGGCTCTGATTTTAGAAGGCATATAAATTGCAGTCGATTTTAAACTTACTTTTTTTTTGGCAATTTATCGCTTGGACATAAGCTTGATATGATACAATTCTGATCTTTAAGATTACTCCCAACACAATTTTCCTATTTCAAATTTAAGATTTTTGTGACATGATGTCTGGAATCATTATGCTGCTTTTTAAAGAAAATTAAATGATTGCAATTACAGAAGCTTATTATGTTAGTATTCTCCAGATTTTACTTTGATTGCTACTAATGATTTTTAACTATAACAACCCCCGCATTTAAAAAAAAACCCTACCCAGATTAAATTTATTCATCAACATAAATATTAAATATTCTGCATACACTTGTGCTAGTGCAGATACATCTGTTAACATTCAGATGCTGTGGATCTAACCATAAAAAAATGCACTTAAAGAACTAGAAGGAATTTCCATTACAATCCCATCTATTGTCACACATTAACCAAAAGGCTGGCTGTTGAAAAAGGAGGGTAACCCACTCGACCCGTAATTCAGCATGCTGTGATTGTGACTCTTCTGGCCCCTGGAATGAAAGTCCACAGTAGTACCTCCTTGAGCTAGGCCATCACAGAGAGAGAGAGAGCGAGAGAGAGAGAGAGAGATTGCTAACAGAATTTTCCACTGCACACTCATCTCATCACCAAACAAAGTAGCAAACTGACAATGTTTGATTATTGGAGTGGGGAAAAGTACTTGCATTAATACTCTTCTCTTTCCCCACACAGGTGTAACTCATGCAATGGGAGGCAGAGGAGGCCTAAACAGAGGCAATATTAGTTAAAAGTTCTGTAAAGTAATTGAAGCTGTGTATACAGACTGTCAGATTGGCTACTGTTGCTTAAGTGTAATGATTGCAGCGCTAAAAGCAGCATTTTGTACGTAGATTGATGTGCGCACATTTCAATGTCTTTATTAATAAAATTAGACAAACTCAAAGTAAAATGGCTTCTTTCTTTAAAATCCTGTCTTACAAATCATCTTTAGGACACTTATACCAGTCCTTGGATACTGTCTGCCCAGTCTGAGAGGTAACTGATCTTGCTATTCTGCTGGCCACATTCACATTGTAGTACTGATCTGCAATGAGAAAAGTGCAGTTTGAGTGGAAATTAAAATTCCAGATGTAGGAAGTCTTTAGTAATAAAAAGCTCTCTGATTAATGTGCTGAGTTAACATCAGATGCCTCTTTCCCTTTTTATTGTCACGTTGGCATATATCACACTTGATGCACATGTAGTTGAGAGAGAGGCTTTAATATCGGTTTCCAGACAAAACATTTCATTCGGACATTTACTTTTTTTAGTCACCCAAATTTGAGTATTGGCAATTATCTAATCTTACCCTATAACAGTTATAGCCAGCTAGCACCTGGAAAACAGTGCCACTTAGTCGAGTCACAGTACCCCATTTTTATAAAAGCAGTTCCCTTTTTAAAAAGATACTGGCAGCTTGTCAAGTCTCTTGACAAATACTACTTTGAAGCTTTCACGCTGTTCAAAGGTCTCCTGTGAAATATGAACTTTTTTTGAAACCCAAACACAGCTGATTCAGATACACTCAAAAATCCCAGAAGATAGTGTTTTAAACAACTGAATGTCCCTCAGCTAAAGACTTGAGAGTTAAGGGGAGAATGTTCTTTGTCTCTGCTATCTCATGCTCAGTTGAATTCTGTGCCAGCACTTCTCTGAAAGGTCTAAAGAGTTTAAGCCTTTTCTTAAAACTGTAAAAGTGGCACCTTCTTATCCACAGGTGTGCATTGTCTCACTTATTTTATAGGTATGATAGGAATTGTCATAGTGGATCAGAGCAGTGGTGATCCTAGTCCAGCATCCAGTGCTTTAGAGGTAGGTGTAACAACAAAATCTTTCACTATGCCGTTACGGGATGCTGCCCAAAGGGAAAGTTTCTCCTTAACCCCATTAGAGGTTGGCTTATGCCCTGAAGCACAGGGATTTAAATCCTGAAGTGTTTTCAGTTAAGTCAGGATTTCACTCAGTCAGTGGCAAAACTCCTACCACCTCAGTGGTGTGAGGATTTCATTCTTGAATGGTTTGTCATTACAATGACCACTCCAGATAGTCTTGTTATCGGTATAAATGTCCAATCCTTTTTTAATCCTGTCTGCTTGACATCTTGTGGCACTGAGTTTCACAGGCTAGCTATTTCTCTGCTGATCATTTTAAGTAGAAACATCCATTTATTCAGGGATTATGGGCGAAGCTTGAGTTATTGTCATTTTTTTTTTAAGCCTAAACCCTAGTACTCATTAACTTCATCTTGGCAGTTCTCTTGCAGTGGAAAGGGTAGGTAACTTCACATTTCAGAAAACTACACTTGCCTTTGAGATTTGAATTAACGTGTTTTAGCTTTAACTTACCTTTAGAGAAAACATAGTAATCATAGCCATCTGGCCTTCGGTAGTTAGGTATTGATATAGCTGAGTGAACTACTTTTGGAAATCCTCTCCAGTAAGAATTTATTTTAACCTCATGATGTAATATTCCTGCAGACAAGAAAATTGCTTTAAATTAGGAAAATATATTAAAACATGGGCTGTGCAAAGCTATAACTTGGGAAGAGAAGCTGAGAGAGAACAGCTGCTAGGATGAAGAGATTTAAAAGCAAACATTCAAGAAACTGAACAGATGAAAAATGCTGTCCTTCAGAAACTATTAATTTTAAAATGAAGATAAAAATCATTTAACATTAAATATAACTGACCAGATGGATTATGGTTGATTCTGAGAGTGTGGTACATGACTGGTGTGCGGTACTCGATTGCTGATCTTATTGCACGTTCAAAGCGTCTTCTCTTGATCACAGCTCTGTGTGTATAAGCTGGGTATCTAACATATGCTTTCTTTTTGCACCTTTTGGCTGGTTCTTGATTGTAGATATAACGTTGAACGCTGCCACCTGAAGCAGAAGTTTGTTCCAGTTGTGAAAACAGTTGAATCAGAAATGTCATTAGTACCCTAATATGAACTTGCTAGGCTGGGAAGATAAGAGTCCAAAGGCTATTGAGGAAACTTTTTCAGCTTGAAATGCCTCAAAATTACATATATAACTTGGAAGTATGATGCTAACAGGACCTGGTCCTAACATTTGTTTACTTCTGTGAGTAGTTCTGTTAAAGTCAATGAGACTATCCATGGTAGTAAGCACTATTCTGAGTAGCGTGAATGGGATCAATACCCTTGAGAAGAAAAGGTGAAATTGTAGGGCACTAGCCTGATGCTGCAGGTTTTCTGCTTACACAATTCCCATTCCTCAAGGGAAAGGATTGCAGGATTGGGTCTATTTTACTTGTCTAGCTGTTTTAATCTGAATAGCTCCTTCAAATGTTCCTGTGTAGATGCTATACCATTCAAATAAGATAAATCCAGTGCTTTACAAGGAAAGAAACCATGACTGAGAAACAGTTCCATACCTAGATATGTGGTGATTGGTCTATTTTAGACCTTACCATGCCCCATTAACTTGTGAATGGAATAGCGTTCAAATGATGGTAAAACTCCTCCTCATAACCCTATCCTGAAAAGTAAACGTCCATGATCACTTTGGCATTCAAAGGCTATCTCTGAAGCCTCAGGTTAGCTCAGGATCTTCTGGTGCTATGTACTGTTGTCATCACTTATCTGTTGCCAGACATGCAGTCTTACTTGAAAATGGAGCGGAGTTTTATTCCCAAAAGAAATAAGCTGAATACTTATAACATTTGTAGACATGAAACATACCTCTCTTGAAAAAATACACAGATTCTGGCCTTTTGTTGTGTTGTGCTACCGAAAGAACTGCTACTATTTTCCCACTTAGTCCTGCAAATCCTTTTGCAATTTGTTTGGGATATCCCACATCCTTCACATCGTTAGTGAAACGCCAGTATTGGGAACCCTGAGGATTTAAACAGAAACTTTTACTTAAGGAGAAAAAAATGTCCATTTCTGATAGGTTTCAGTGTAGACTACACAGGTGATTATGAAATCCACATCTAATTACTGTTATCCGTCAAAATGAAAAATTAATGTTGCTTATGTTCAAGAGATTACTCTGCAGGCTCCTTAAACCTCCATTAGCGCACAAACCTTTTCACCTACCAGCAGCCACTTTACTTTTGTGATAGAGAGAGTTCCCTCTATCTCAGCTAAAGCTAAGTGCTGGGCTTTCTAGAGAATCCATGTTTCACAGCTGCTATTTGACACTCAAAATCACTCCCACTCAAACTACCAGACTAATCTGTTTGCAAGGTCTGCATATTTTAGCCTGGCATGGTAGGCTGAAAACTGCTTCTAGACTCTTAGTAAATATTTATATTACAGTAATGTCTAAAGGCCCCAATCAAGATTAGAACCTTATTGTGCTGGGTATTGTACAACACAGAAAAAAGGACAATTGCCTCCCTGAAGGGGTTACACACGTGTGACATTAGCTAATTAAAATAATGCAAATCATTGTTGCTACCACTGTTACATAATTGCAACGAATCTTACACGAAGTGTGATGCGTGGGGTTAAGCATCCTGCAGGCTAATTGACCCAGAGTCAACCTGTAGAGATATGTTAGAAATGGTAATTAGGGCCATTCCATGGTAAATAGGCTAGAACTTTGAAAATGCAAACCTATATTGTTAGAAGTTAGGGGTGATACTAATTGTATGTGTACACTCATAAATGTTAGCCATGTAAACAGAAAGTTTGTCACTATAGCTATTGATTCAGAGATCAAAAGGGAATATTGACATTTAGATGAATCTTGGGTGCAATAATGTCATTGTCTATATATCTCTTTAAAGTTTGTGGTAAAGTGCTTAATGGATAAATGATCTTATGTTAATCCATGTAGTTAATTACCGGTGAGGTTTAGGAAACAGAAGGTTACATCAAAAGCCTATTGTTCACCCAGGACTGTATGATCAAGTGGCTTCTAGAAAACTGTATAAAAGACCCTAGAGTCCCAATCCTTTTTATCTCCGCTCTGCTTGAAGCTTCATGCAGTGAAAGCTTAAGCCACAAGGCTGAGATCCCAGTCCTGACTGGACCACCCTGAATATAAATATTGGACTATAACCTATGAACTAATTCTGAAAGAACTCTTTGCAACTAAAAAGCTCACCGTCTCGGCTATGAATCTGAATCTTAAGAATTGTACTCATGTCTGTATGTATATTGATCTTTTAACCAATACTCTTTTCTTTTTTAATAAATTTTAGTTTAGTTAATAAGGATTGCCTGTAAGCATGTATTTGGGTAAGATCTGAAATATTCATTAACCTGGGAGGTAATGTGTCTGATCCTTTGGGAATGGTAGAACTTTTTTATATGATGACTAAGATTTTCAGTAATCCTCATCATATTTGACTTGGGTGTCTGGGTGGAGGCCCAACCCTGGGTTACTTCAAGGGAACTGTGCTGTTGGGTTCTGGGTAACCTATGAGGTATTATAGAAGCTATTTTGTGCTGGCTTGGTAAATCTAAGTATTGGAAGGTCCACCAACTTTGGGGATTGTCTGCCCTATTCTTTGTAGTTCACCCTAATTGAGTGACCTCAATTGGCTCCCCTGGGATGCTAATCACAATACTAAAGGCACAAACAGATGAAGGGATGGGGATATAATATAAAAGCATCTGAATACAGTGAAAAATTAGTATAACTTTGTTAGGTATACGTAATGCAGATTTTCAGGGATAGGGGGTGCAATTAAGAACTTGCAGGGATCCCAGAGGGGGAAAATAGCATTAAGGACTCCCCAAAAATGAGTTGAAGAATAAACAATTACATGTTATTAAGTAGGAACTTTGTACAACTAATTTTTGCTCTCTTTCATACAGCATTGTGCCTTCCAGCAAAATAAGGAGAGAATGTACCAATGAATTCAGATTTTATGTTTAACTCAGTATTTTAAATTACTCTGCTTAAGGAAACAAACACCAATGGTTAGCGCT